AGATATTGTATGAGTCTGCTTGGGCTGCCCACAGAACACTACAGGCTGGGGGGCTTCAACAAGAGAAATTTATTTTCTCATCGTTCTGGGGGCTGGAGTCCAAGATCAAGGTGCCGGCAGAATTGGCTCCTGGTGAGACCTCTCTTTCTGGCTGGCAGATGGCTGCCTTCTAGCTGTGTCCTCACATGGCCTTCCCTCTGTGCATGCGCACTCCTGGTGTCCCTTCCTCTTCTTATAAAGACAGCGGTCCTATTGGGTTAGGGCCCCACTCTTACTACCTCATTTAACCTTAATTATCTCCTTAAAAGCCCTATCTACAGTCACAGTGGGAGTTAGGGCTTCAACATATGGATTTTAGGGGCAACACAATTCAGTCCATAACACATGTGAATAAAACTCTTATTCAAAAATTAAATACATTTAAAAGTAAAAAAAGCAACTATGACCCTGCCACCCTCCCCTTCCCAATCAGTCGAGTGGCTGCTGTGTGCTAGGAATATGATAAGGCTCCGGAAGAAGATGAACCACAATAGAGGGAACACACAATAGAGTAGAAAAGAACAACCAAATGTTTCAATACGTACTTGAATTTCCTGGAAAAGGAACATTTTCTAACGACGTTTCTAAGATGCTGCTGTACACCGTCTATCAAATCCTCTCCTTTCCTTCCGTCCTCGCTCTCTTTTTCTCTTCTCTCTCTTTTCCCCTCTCAATTCTTCCTCTCCTCTTATTTCTTGCTTATATTTTCAGTGACAGTTTTGTGAAATCATTCATTAGATGGTTCCTAATTAGAGTCTCGCATTCAAGAAGGAGCCTGGAAACTACTGAAAGTTTCAATTCAGTCTTGCTCATTAAAGAGAATTCAGAATTCAGTGGAAATGCTGCATTTACCTCCCTCTCTTGCTTAGGGTGGAGGGTAGCAGGGATTCTGGTTCCCACTTGAGACTTGCTTTCCCTCCTTTTCCCTTTCTCTGATTTCTAGCTGCCTAACTCTTCAGCCCTCTGTCTTACCCATACAAATGTATCCGGGAAGGTATGATTCTAGAAAAAGACTGGAGAAATGCCACTCTAGTTTGACACTTTGTCGTGAAGACAATTCCAAGAAATCAAGGCAAGTGGTGACAACTGAAGCCAGCAGCTGCAAAGTGCCGTGTTCCTGACTACAAAATGCCTCGCTCGCCGTTGTAATGAGATTCTCATTCATCGGCAGTTGAGGGCAGTTGCTGAACAGGCCTAGACATTTCAAGGAAATACTTAAGAGGAATATTTTTCATCTTTGATTTGTGAGTTAAGGTTCCTGTTTTAAATTTGTTTTGCCAGACTTCTGAAGCACACAAGGGAGGGCGTAATCTCTGTTCTGCTACAATAAACCTGCCTGCGCATGAGACAACCCGGGATGGGTTATAAATATCCTATAATTTGCTGAAAGTACTGAAGCACAGCTTTATATCAGATTTTTCTTATTCTTCTTCTTCAAACCTCCTGGCAGTTCTCTTATCAAGATTCGACAGCAGTAGGCCCATAGCTCAGTTGCCTATTTATGCTTTAGTACAAAACTGAGAAAACATTTCATTGCTATAGATAACTTTCTAAAAGTTAGATCCCTTTTTAGTGTGGAAAGTTCAAGCTTTGCCTGCTTAAAATTGTCTGTTAAGCAGTCACTGTGGAAATTACATTTACTGGGGAGGGAAGACAAGACTGAAATGGAGAGCAGATGCCATCCAAATGGTCTTTGAAGTAAATTTTATAATTGAGGCACTGAAATTAATGGCCATAAAATTGACATGAGCAAGCCCCGGCCGATGACCAGCTGTAGGGCCAGCACACCTCCATACTGACCCGCTCCATCTTTCCTATTCTAATAACAGCTCTCACAAGTACAGACTTTCAATCCTGTCAAAATGTCCTGTGCTGACAGGAAGCTCACTGGGATGAAAATTGCCACAAATTGACACCCTATTCCCAATATGCACTCTGGCATCATCGTGTTCCTAATCTGTTTAAATTTCTAAAGGTCTGGCTGAAAGATAGGCATGCTTTTTAAAAGATCCCAATCAACACAATATTCTTGAGAGCTTAACTTTAGTGGCATGAAAAATTTTGTGGTTTGAAGGCTATTTCAACCAGAGATGCTTATCTTGCAGAATTCCCATGGTTCTAAAATATACACTGTGCGGGATGCCTAGAGTTCACTGCAGCGGGGGCAGCTGTCCATGTCAACGCCGAAATGCTTATTTTGCTACTTCACTATTCCAAGGATAGCGTGTGCCTCATCTTAATAGATGGCATCGGAGGTGGGTGGCATCTTAGAACCGCAGAGCCAAGAGGTCATCTATGTAGTGATTTTAAATCACAGCTTTTCAGCTGGTTCCAGGCTAGATGCAGAGCTTGTTAAAATCACACTGTCACAGGTCCTGCCCTGGGAGACCCTGAGGTGGGCCTTAGGAATTTGGAGCTTTTAAGGCTCTTTAGGTGATTAGAGTGTACGGTCAGGATTGGGAACCACGGCTGTAAATCCAATCCCTCATCCAATAGAGACAATTCTGTTCTATCATCATTTATTTTTTCAAATGACACCCTAAAAGTTCCTGAGCTTATGGGTTTGAGACCACTGAAAACATACACATTGATAAATAGGACATTAACAAAAGCCATAACAATAGAAAAACACTAGCATGGTTTTAAAAATGTTAAATCCTCAAAAAGTAGGTATAGTCAATATAAGACTTAACCTTAGAAGAAAAGATGAAGTTAGTTCAACGGAAAAAATTACAAAGATTGGGAAGAACTACACAACAAGTACTGTAAGTGGGAATGACATGGTCAAAAGGAGCCGAGGAGAAGGTGAGGTGTGTCCATGCTGGATGCTGCACTGCGCCCCCCGTGGCTTGCTGTGTTCAACAGGGTGAGGGCATTTTGCCACCCTTGCTTAATGGTGCAAAACATCACAGGGCTAATGAGAGCTGTAAGTGATCCAGCACAACGTCGATATCACACTGATAGCATTCCGCCGGTGGCCACTGAAGTCACGTCTAGAAACACGTGTCATGGCAGAACAGACAATCTTCTGAACAACATTTCTACCAAGTGTTTATTTTGCTTCTACTTAAACGCTTGTGCCTGAGGTAGCTTACTCCATTTTTGGAGAGCTCTAATAATTAAAAGCTCTTCTGTATGTTGAGCCAAACTTTGTCTTTCTGTAGTGCCCACCCATTTATCCAAGTCCAATTGTGCTACCACAGGACAGAGAACTTTTCAGGTATTTGGAAATGTGATCTTAATTGCTCTCCATCTTCTCTTTACCAGGTTAAGCATGCCCCAGTTTTTCACATGCTCCTCAAATGGTATTGCTTAGCGTTCTCTGACCACTTAGCCTACCTCCCTTTAAGATGCCCAGGGTTTTCACATCCAGACTTGATCATAATACTCCAGATTTGGCTGATCAATGTAGACATGATTGAGATGATTAGCTCCCTGGAGCTAGACACTGTATTCCTATGGATGCAGAGCAAGTAGAATAGGCTTTGAGCAGTCAAATCACATCACTGGCTTGTATTGTACTTGCAGTCTCCCACACCCTTACCTAGAGAGTATATCTTAACCCTCAGGGCACACCCTTGCCCTTGGCCACAGGACCCTTACACAAGGCCTCTGTGGCTACCTGGTCATGGGCTGAGGGAGTTCTCTCTGGCCTCACTTTTCCAGGTCCCTCCTCACACCTCCCTAGGCAGCAGCTATCTGTGATTCTGGACTATCCCTTGAAAATTGTATCACTCGTATCACACGCCATTTTAGACAAGTTATCTGATTTTGGACAGACATGCCCTTGGAAATATCTACATCTTCCTCACATCCAGGAGGGGTCATGCCCCTGAACTGAACCCAGGCCTCCCCCTTACATCCTGCTAGACCCTGGGTTCCCATTCTGTCCACAAAAGGAACAGAGATAACCCCAAGGCCCTAAGCGTGTGTTTAGCATGAACTTCTGTTAAATCATGTCTCCCTAGGCACATTTGTGGAGGTGGTTTTTGGTACATAAATGTTGATTAATACATTTATCCTTATACAACTTTACGCTGTTAGATTCGTCTATCATGCTGTAGTCCCTATGGTCCTGGACTATTATCCAATACATTTGTTGCGTTCCCAGATCTATATCCCCTGCCAATATGACTGGTGTGGCAGCAGTAGCCTTTTCCAAGGCATTAAGAAAACTGTTCAAAAGCAAAGATCAATGAGAAATCCTTGTGGGTATGACCCTAGAAACCTCTCCATATGACAGTGGATTCATTAAATCACACATTTTTTGTATTGTGCTTCAATAACATATGTATATATATATTATGTAGCTGACTCAAAAAATAAACTTACAATTAAATAAATCATACTATAAACAAAGGTCCTGGAAAAACAAGGAGAGCCTGAGAAACTGTCACAGACTAAGACTAAGGAAACGTGACAATTAAACACAACATGGGCTCCTGGGCAGGAAAAGGACGTTGGTGGAAAACCTGGTGAAATCCAAATAAAGTCTGTATGTTATCTAATAGGATTATACCAACGTTCATTTCTTCATTTTGATCAATGTCCATTGTTATATAACATATTAACGTTAGGGGAAGCTGGGTGAAGGGTGTATGGAAACTTTCTGTACTATCTTGCAACTCTTCTGTAAATCTAAAATTGTTTCAAAATAAAAAATTTTTAAAGTTTAAATTAAAAGTTTTTTGAAAAACCAATAAAGACTCAAAACTTGTCACTTCCTAATTTTACTATATTTTACTCCTATCTATGGTCTTGTGGTTATTTACTTCTATGGCATCTATATGCATACATTGGTTATTTTCCTCCAAACAGCTAGTTGTTAAACACCAGCACACCACACTCAAAGACCTTCCTTACTAATTAGTACAATGGCAATAGTCTGCTCATGCCCTTGACTATGGTAACCGTTTTCTTATCAACTGATTACTATGGGAGAATCTCATCGTCTGCATTACTTGTAAAATATGGCGCCGTGGCGTGATGACGGAGCTTTGGATCTTCTTGTCTGCATTGTCTGTATGTCTGCATTTTCTCTGAAGCAATCAGGGTCTTCTGAAACCTGTAATTTGAGGAGCATTTTAAATACTAAAATCAGAAGAATCACTTTCTTCTAATAGTCTGAACTAAAAATGGATTCCCCTATTGTGCAAAAACATTACACCATTAACTGGTCTCCCTGGAAACAATCACTCAAGACCATACTACCTGATCACTTTCTGCCCTGTATGCTCTGGGCTACAATCCTACCCACCTAATCGTCACATGGTCAAGACCAAATTTCCCATCTTGACCACAGAGTTGCGGCGACCTACCATGCAAATGCTGTTCTGAAATCAGATACATTACAGTATCAGTCTACAGTAGTCTCTTACTAACTAGCCTAATTACCCCTTTAAAAGAATTAGGCTGATCCAATGCAATTTTTTCTTGATAAACTCCATACTCATATATCACCTTCTTCTAAAAAGTATGTGAGGTGACTCCCCTGTATATTAGTTTGATTGCAAACTGTCTGAAATCCAGACAAATGTAAGAGAACTGCAGGAAATTGCCCCCTAATTGCCAGACTCCTACACTACACTCAGGAAAATACAATCACAAGGCTTGCTTCAGAATTGCTTCTATTTACCTTCATTTTAATCGAAAGCAAGTAATTAAGAAATTTTCTCTCCGGAAGACTTCTAATAAGCAAATTTCCATTATCCTTAACCACATAGTGTGAGCTGACTTTTCTTTTCTTAACGAATCCTGTAATGTGGACATAGACATGCATTGATCCAGCCATGGCTGAGCAGAGCTGAGCCCCATGAAGACAAGAATCAAGGGCCCTCCTCCCTCACTACACAGATTAATAAGTGCAGGATATAGACTTTATAGTCCAAAAGTCAAAAAGGACAAGAAAATCCGTATCTCTCTCTAGCCCAAGGGACAATATATTATTTACGTTTTTAATGTAACCATGTTCTACTGACCCAGCTGAAAATGTGGCAAATTGCACAATGACTTGAACAGCGGATTTTACAAATGGTAACAGATACTATTTATTGTGCCAAACATTCTAATATGCACTTTAAATAAACTATCTCATCTAAAATAATGAGGATTATTATCCCTTTTTCATGGATGAGGAAATTGAGATTAGGGGTGTAAACTCGTCCTAGATGATTGGGGTGGTAAGTGGTCAAGCTGGGATTTGAACCCAGAACTCTTGGTGCCAAAGTCTTCATTCCATCCCTATGCCTCTCTCTTCGGATCTAGATTTATCTGAACTGCTGAACAGCAAAAATGACAAACTCACTTTTCTACAGTGAGAGCCAAATGAAGTAGTTCCCACATGCTATTAGTAAAATCTTTCTAGAACACACCTCAATACACGTAAATGTAGAGATTCATAAATTATGTACCTATGGTGCTGCAATAGCATAATGTGTACATTATAAAATCTACAAAAGTAGGAAAATTGTAAAATTCTATAAAAATTTAAATATATTCTAATATTTTCTTCTCCCAACTCAGTGGGTCATCTTTTACACCCCTGAAATCTATGCACCCCACTCTGACATAGAGGTTACCCTTTCCCAAATTTAATTAATTATATACTATCTTGGTAAATTCTTATGCATAACTTGCACTAGTATTTTTACATGTGGACTTATTATTCCTAATATAATTAATATTAGGCAACACTGGCTACTTTTCAACTTTAGGTGACATAAAAGGAGCATGACTCTTGGAGAGGATCAAGGGGTCAGAGTCAAGCCTAAATCTAGTCCTATCCCAAGGCTGAAACATGACCTGTCCCTTCACAACAGCCTCCACGGCCACATTCCACCATCTGTGCAAGAGTGGGAGCAGCATCACTAACCAACGGAGTGCTGAAGATTAAAAAACGTTATAAATCATAGAGCTCCTGGCGGCAATCAAAGTGCTTTACTAATATTTCCCAACTCAGATCCATCCTCTGTTTTGTGGACTGACAGTAGATTTTTACTAAATGACTGAAACGTGGAGAGTTCAGGCAAAACCTTTTGCAAGTGAAAGTTTCGTTTTTCATGATAACCATTTATACTGTTGCTAGGATGCTCTATGTTTAGTTAGAACATAATGCAGATTGTACTTTCCCACCTTAAATTCCCAGCACATGGAAGGAGAGTTTTCCAGAAGAATAAGCCCACTATTAGTGGCATAATTCACCATGGAATAAGGGTCCAGTTGGGGCAACTATACCTCAGAGTGAGCCCTGGATGAATGGCTGCCCTTATGGTGGTCCAGTTAAATATTCTTTCTCATCATTTGAATTCAGTGGTTGCAAACTGTGTTCAGTGGAGTTCAATAATGGTGCCTGCCATGGGGTGCAGGTTGAGAGGAAGAAACGCAGGAGACCAGCAGGGGGCGTCCTGGGCCCCCTTCTCTAGCCAGAGCAGTTCTGTTCTGATCTGTTTTATATACCCGGGATGCTTAAAGGATTCCATTTAAACAAAAGGATCTGTTAAAAAAATTAACCAAAGCCATAACACATTTGCAAAATTTTAATTTTATCTCTGTAAGTAAAATATATAAGCTTCCTACTGTTCATTTTTAAAACTTGGGGCAAGAATGTGAGGCAAAAATCAGATTTGATAAAACTCCAAGGGCAAAGAATAATGTAAAAAATTCAGCAAATTAATAATTTTATAACTTCCACATATGCTCCAAGTTGAGATACAGGGTACTTGGATCACCCAAAGTTGGAATTTCAGACTTAATCCCCGCTGAGGATGACCTCAATGACAGAGTCACTCAGCCTGGCACACTTCTGAGTCTTTATTCAGACGTAGCTAGAGGATTGATAAGGTATGTGCTGAGGTTTTGAACTCTGAATCACTGATTATCAATCTTTGTGGGTGCTTCGGGAGCAAAATCAAGATAGACGAAACTTCTAGTGTGTGGGTGGGGATGGGGGCATTATAGGAATTAAAACACACTGATAGAGCCAGTGTCCCTGCTTTGAAGGATTTTTCTGCAAAATACGTTGGTAGAGAAGTGTCATTTTCAGTGGAGTGTAACATTTGAGCCTGTCAGTGCTGACAGTCTGCTCAACGCCGGCCTTGTTAGCTGATTGCTATAGGCAAGACGATGAACAGCGTCCCAGGTGGTCGTAACAAACCTGTGACTACAAGCGCAGACAGAATGCCACAAACTTGGGGAAACAGAAATTGCTTTGTCTCAGTCTCTCAAATCATTCTAGTGCCTATGCTCCAGACGGAACGCCTTACTTACTTGGTCAACCTTGCCCCAGCCAATCCTACGGTTAAATAATCCACAATAGGAAACATCCCCTCCAGACAGACAAATCTATTCCCAGCACATCCTCACTCCCAAACCATTGTCCTTGTTCAAATTCACTCCTGAAATGCCTCCCTGCTTCTATCCAAATCATCTTCATTCTTCAAGAACTGAATCAAATGTTCCCTGCTCTTTAACCAGCTCTGCATAATTTCTCTATTCTCCAAATACATTCTTTTATTCAATAACCATTTACTGAGCACCTACTATGTGTCAAGCACAGTTGTAGTTGCTGTGGACACAATGGAGAGCAAGACACACAAGTCCCCGCCCTTACTGAGCTTAAAATTCTAGTGGGGAAGACCAAGGTGACTCAAAAAATACATATACACATATATACACACACAGAGATACATGCACACACACAGATGCACACACACATATATATTTATATGTACACTTAAATATTGTGACTTCAGGAAATAGTGCTATGAGGAAATAGAAAGCAAGATAAGGGAGTCTCTAATATCCACTGTCTGTGCCACTCACTTTTGATATAACACCTTGTATTCTGATTTAACTTTCAATCTGTGACTGTTTTGTGAAAGTCTTAAGGGAGAGATGTACTTACTGCCTTTGCAGCCTCCACAATGTCTACTTCAGATCTTGCAACAGATGTTCAATAAATATTCGGTGAATTCCTTGATTAAATGAAATCCATTTGCCAGCATCACAGAGAGATTTTGACTTGATGCTGACTAATGGGCTGGCTTAGGCCCCACAAAAAGACGACGAGCTTTGGCAATGGTTTGCAGCTGTCATAATGACAGATGCTAATTTAAGTCACAGATATTTTGTTCTGAAATATGCATAGGTTCCATCTATGCAGTAGTTATTGTAACTATACTGCAATGGTTCTTAAGATGTAATGCGCATATTTTCCCCATTTTCTGGAATAGTCTGTATCTACATCTTTTCAAAATAAGGTTTGTAACTACTTAATTACATTGATAACTTTTATTTATATTTAAGAATTTTCATATAAGTAAATCCACAAATCACGGGGAAAAAAATAACACTGAGTGACACAGCATCTGGAGGTGCTCCTTGTCTGTAACGCCTTCAGTTTCCTTACATAACCAAAATCTGAAATGCTTGTTCTTTACACCATTCTTTGCTCTATGAATAAGTTATGTTTTATAGTAAGTCAATCTGTTAAATATTTTTGAGTGTCCACAGCCACAAGACTGTCCTGGGTGAAGGATGTAGAAATGCAGGCAATGATGAAATTCTGACTTGCCCTGGGGTGTAGTGACCAGCCAGATACTTATTGTACTAATTTTCTTATCAGTCGCTTTCATTCCTTTCTATCTCATTATAATTCAGAAAGCAGAGCACCTTAGCAGGATGACCTTCATCTTGTGGTTGTGGTAAACAGAATGTGTATTCTGGAGTCACACAACTGGGGATTCAAATCTTAATTCTGCCACTCACTTGCAGGTGACCTTGGTGAAGGTGCCCATCTCTCTGACTCTGTTTCCTCATTGTAAAATGGACATGATAATAACCACCTCTTACAGCTGTGGTGAGGATTGAGCGAGATAAGATGCATGTTAAATGCCTTGTGCATAAGAGGCTGTCAATATATTGCCACAATTTTTATCATTATTTCTCACTTGTAATCACCTTGTGCTAAGCAGTGAAATAGAAATACAAATAAGACACCTTTCAAGACTTCAAGAAACTCCTAGTCTAGGTAGGGAGACAGAAACATATAAGTGGATAATGCCAGCGAGTGAATGAACAAAAAGTAATGAATGCAGTGACGGAGAGATGCCAGGGTGGTGCGAGAGTGTGGAGGAACAGTATTTAACTTGCGAGGTGGTATGAAGGCTTCCTAATGCATATCACATAGGAGACCTTAAAGGATAAATGGAAGTTCAGCAATGGAGATAATGGAAGAGTAATCCAGGTCCAGGGAACAGCATCAGTAAAAGTATGGAAGCAACACATAACAGTACGTGCGGGGAGCTACAAGCCATTTATGTTGCTGTCCACAACGTCCAAGGCAGAGAGTGGTGATCATGGAGAGGTGAGGCCGGGGAGATAAGCAGGAAACAGCTTATGGTGGTATGTCAAGGTAAGGATCTTGAACTTCACCCCGTAGAAAATTGATAAAAAATGCAACTAGAGATTTACATAAACAATTGACACAGTTATATCTGAATAAAATATATCACACTGGTGGCTATGTAGAAAAGGGATTGGATGAAGATGTCAGGAAGTGGAGAGACACTTAAATCAGATCCTGAATGAGGGCATGGCTGTAGGGATGGATTCAAGAATCCAGAGGTAATGAGCTAGGGCTTGATGGAGGGAGGAAGGAGCCAAGGAGAACTCACAGGTTTCTACCTAAGTGACTGAAATGGAATAAGTTTAGAAGATTCAAGGAAATTGTAAGGCCCCAATGGGGGTTGACTCATCTATCCTCTAGGGTCCTGAGATACCCCACCATTATGGCAGGGGTTGGCTTGGAGAGTGAGAGTGACAGCTAGAGACTTTTGCGAATCAGTCAGAATGACATCCAGGCTCCATGAGCAACAGTCTCTGGTACACTGCAGTACATCATGGTGGTGTCAGCCTCTCAAAAGTATGAGTTTTACACAATGGTAGATGCATGCTCATGTGAAGTGACAATGGGGTGCCTGGGAAACACTAACACACCTGTGGTTTGCACAATGTGTGAGAATAGTAGCCCCACTGAAAGGGCTGGAGGGACAGTCTTGTACTCGGGGGAGAGTCAGGCAGCCGAGACCTATAGGAACACAGCACCGTGTGGAGAGTTTAAGGATTAGGGGGTTTGTGAGGAGTGGCACAGGATTTTCCCTCACCCTGGACCTATCAATTCCCATTCCACCTTCAGTGGTGCCAATATTAAGTGCTCTCTAATTTATTATCCCTTCGCCTCTCAAGAGAGCAGCTATTAACTATTCTGACTTCCGCAGCCACGTGCTCCTCTTCACCGATGCAGTGATCAATGCCCATAATATATCTTTTTCCTGAGAAGTTTCAAGCACCTCAGAACTCATCACGGTGGATGAGCAGCTTAAACTGTTTGCTGCTTGGAGCCTCGATGTGGTCAAGATAGTGAGCGTCAAGGGTCTGCAGTCATGATTGATTCTCCTGATGGGGCCAGGTGCAATGGCGCCGGACCCTCAGGGATGCATCTTACTGCTATTTAACAGTCGCCTGAAGAAGGGGTTACTCAGTGCATCTGACCTCAGTTTGACCTGGTCAAACAAGACCAGCCTGGCTCAGTTTTTCTAAGGATTTCCATTACTTTGCAGTGTTGCAAACAGACTCATTAAAAGTTCTGAATTTGTGACTTTAAAATCCATTCTCACTGAGGATGTATATGAATGCTCTGATTTAGCTAATAAAATATTTAGAGGGAGAGATACCTGTAGATGCCATCAAGAGTTTATGTAATTGGATGGAGGAGTTCTTCTACCTTAGAATATATGTAAATTCGAAGCCAATACTATATATCTGTAAAAACACTGAGTTCTTTTTATCCTCTTAGGGCTGGAAATGCTGCCCTTTTTTGGTCTTCTAACAAGACCAACACTAACAAACGTGTACTGGAATGTGTTACTGGAATATGGAGGTTACGGAACGCATGAGTGGTACGGGAGCGAAAAGCCGGTGCCGGCTATTTATTAAGTCCTACCTTCAACTAGACTGGGGAAGTGAATGTGTTCACAGCGACACTTTTAAGAAAACTCTTTGCAGATAGAACATAAAAAGACAGAGACAAATCTGACGTTTTGACTGCTCTTCTGACCCCCGTCTTGGTTGTTTCAGGAAAATAAAGAATTACCTATAGGTACAAAACTAAGAGACATCTTAATATGTATTCAGGCACCTGTGAACTCCCCAGTTGGTGAAATTATTTTGACAAAGAGTGGCCTCACCAACCTTGTAAGAGTGTCAATGGAAAGTGCACCAGCATGGACAGCAGGCTGTGTATGGTATGGCCATGCAAATTGCAGGAGCAAAGAGATTGCTTGCTTTGTAGGAAGGCTGGGTTGGCACAGAATACACTTTCCATGGGTATATTTTCTGGCTGCTGTTTCGAATCAATTTTAGGGCAAAACTGGGTGCAGCTGGAGGTAGGAAATGGAGAACATTTGTATCAAGGACACAGTCACTTCTCGGTAGAAAATAAGAGAGACAACACACAGTTTATTTAAACAGAATGACTCAACTTGGGTTCTATGAACAAGGATTTGACAGAACCTGTGCTAAGCACATTTGCAAACAGAGGACTAAACTGCTTGCCTTTTGCTTTTGTCTTTTAGAGTTGAGATTTTGCTTTTCAAATGCTCAAGGCACCCCCTGTGTCTGAATGCGTTTGTGAATGCTCATAACCAATTGAGGATATGTTGACATTTAATTTCAATAACATTTGCAAGATTAGTTTTGGCTTTTCCACTGTTGTGTGCATTGCAAAGAGCTTTATATCTTCCCACAATAATCATGCTTATGTCTACAGGCTACAGATTCAGCATGAACTTCGGCAACCTACAAACCCTACAGACTTGAGAAGTCCCATTCAGAACTAAGCGTCCATGGCCTTTCAATTGGGGCATAGAAAAGTGACAGGTATCCAGTGATCCCACCTTGGCCAACCAAACATGGCTGGGTTGGAAATGTTATATAATTGTGGTAGTTATGGAATGAAGCATCAGTTTTCTCTCCCTCTCTAGAGACAAATTTATTTATTGATGTTGAAGGCCTACCTTTTTAAAATACAAAGGGTCGATCGGCCTTTATCATATTTAAATTTAATTAAACTCAACAACATTTATTAGCTATATCCTGCCTGCTGAGCAAAGTACAAGGTACAAAGTACACACTAATGAGTTGGACTAAAATAGTACACCAAGATGACGACTCATGGGACACTATAGTGCGTGAGAAAGAAACACTGCACATGGTATTAAAAATAGAATGCCAAATAAGATTTTAGTTCTAAAAATTTGTTTTTTGATGTGTGTGTAAGGAAAATACTAAATACAATTTAACAGCTGTTTGCCTGATTATGCAGTGATCCATCTTGAAGAAACAGTGTCCTGTGCCCAAGATCATCAGGGAATTTTGGAAGAGATCCCTTGCTGCCAGTGGCAGGATGTCCATGTTGATCAGAGGCAGCATTCACCATCAGAAACACTGAACTGTCTCTGCTAAACTAGCTTTTGGCTGGTCTCTGTATGCCAGTGGTCTTCAAATTTTCTCGCTCGTGTGTCCCCAAAAATAAGTACGAAAAACTAGAAACCCTTTTACATAGTCTTAGACCATTGTATAAATGTTTCAATATTAGTCTAAATAGTTGTTAAGATATAATTTCCAGCATATTGTAAATGTTCACATTTATAAATATCAAGTGTTTCATTATGTTTTTAAATAAATACTAAGTAATACAGTGTTTGATACCCACCATCATCTATTTAAAAGATACACCAACATACCCTTTGACGGCTGAACACTTTTTCTTTCTGTGAAGTTTTTCCAGTCTACTTTCCTCACGTAATTTTATCCTGATGTAATATTGTATTATGCTTGAAAATATTTTATTGATCACCCTATTTCTCTGCTTCAAATATATTTCTAAACTGAAAGTTATAAGAGAAAAATTATTTTTTTGTAAACATGATGCTCTAAGTGTTAAATTATTTTTCTGTATTGTGTTATTCTTAAAATTATTAGTTGTATATGGTAGATTAAAGCAATATAACTGCATTTCCAATTTTGAAAAGTAATTATTGGACAAAATAAGTGGAATGTTTTTGGGAATATATCTTAATGCAATAGATTTTTTCTCAATTAATTCACATAAGCTTGGATGAATATTATTTAATGCTGAAATGAAACAAGACTCTACATCAGTTCAATTCTATTTATCTTTTAATGCATTTAAGTGCTGAGAAATCATTCAATGGAAATGAACAGACTTCTGTTATAACAGTGTTACACAACTGTGAGTGTGAGGAAGATTGTTGCTGAGCTAACATCTATGCCAATCTTCCTGTATTTTATGCAGGATGCCTGCCACAGTGTGGCTTGCCGAACAGCGCTAGGTCAATGCCTGGGATCCAAATCTGTGAACCCTAGGCTGCTGAAGCAGAGGGTGCAAACTCAACCATTACACCACTGGGCCAGCCTTAGTGTTACTCAATTTCTGATCTCTCGAGTTAGATGACAAAAATCACACAGTGATCTATCATCAGAAATTATTTTTCATGATCTCTCATCTGACAATTCAAAGGGCTCCTCTTTAATTTTGTTGATAACAGGGAATTGGAAACAGTCTGACTTACCAAAGGGCATGTTATGGAGGCTTTAGAGTGATTCATTCTTTAGTTTCTGGGCACTCTAGCTAATCATAAAAGCTTCACAGAGACTTATCAAGTGACCGTGAGTTATTAATTAAACTCAGTATAGTCTTTCTCTTAGAGGCCACCTGTTTATGAATTTAAAATTAGGTGAAACTGGAATTTGTACATTTTAGGCTTTTTTCCCATTGCCTGTGAACAAAGACCCTATCTCTTGTCAAACGTTCATTTATTAAAACATATCAAAGCAACTTTAACAGAGTATGGCAAATAGATAAAAACACTTGATATTCATTTATAGGGATATATTACCATTTTCATTTCATAGTTGAAGATTATCAAGTTTATGTTTATAATTATGAATCTGACAGAGCTAGAATCAATTCATCAATATATATATTTTGTTTTTTGAGGAAGATTAGCCCTGAGCTAACTGCTGCCAATCCTCCTCTTTTTGCTGAGGAAGACTGGCCCCAAACTAACATCCGCGCCCATGTTTCTCTACTTTATATGTGGGACGCCTACCACAGCATGGCTTGCCAAGTGGTGCCATGTCCGCACCCGGGATCCGAACCAGTGAACCCCGGGCGGAGGAAGCAGAATGTGCGCACTTAATCGCTGTGCCGCTGGGCCGACCCCCCACATCAATATTTGAGCATGCCACATTGATTCTATTTAAGTGAAGCTGATTTTCTAAAGTCCAGTGCATTACATGCTAGATTGTGTGGGGGATCAGAATGGGCCACCCCACAATGTGTCTCTTTGGCTTGATTATTTTTAAGGGCAAGAGACTCTGAAATAAACTTTGACCTTCCCCCTAACTGCCTAAAAGAATTTAAGATAAAAGTCCTGTCCCCTGGATAGGCCATCACCATAGATAACTCTGAGTATCGGTAGACGATGAGGGTCCTTGCTAAGCACATTCTCATCAAAGTTCTGTCTACCAAATGTTTGCTTTTCCATCTCCATGTGAATTGCCTTCCTCCCCTTTGAAGTTCCAAACCACTACCCCAACATCCTCCTTTGTCTTTAGCTGAAGATGGTATTTAAGGTGGCAGGCTTTGGCCATTCTGGTGAGTTGTGAGTTTTCTGGGGTTTCTCCCATGTACACATGTTATTAAATTTGGCTTTATTTCCTCCTGTTATTCCATCTCATGCCAACTTAATTCTAAGACCAGTCAGAAGGACCTAGAATTGTCTTTCTCCCCTACAATTGCATTTGAGGAACATTTTGTTCTATACTTAGAAATAAATATCAAGAAGTAGTAAGGTCTTGGCTTAAAAGTGAATATGGGTGTAGTAATGATTGTTGTTAAGCACATTCTTTACAATAGGAGTCACACATATTCTGGTTAAATTAATCTATATTGTATAAGGAGACATTAGAAATAAAATAAATTTGCAGAAAAGAGGTTGAAGGATGACAGTAGAAGCCTTGCTCCCAAGTCAAAAAAAAAAATGGATTTAAAATATCCAATTACTTTTTGGTAAAAAGTCACGAAATTATTTCTCCTACAGTTCTAAAGAAACATTTAAGAAACATTTGTTTCATTTTCACAAAAATGCAATGTTGATCTGTTGAAAGTAAATGTGGACATTTATACTTTCCCCTCTTTGAAATCACGCAAAATATTCAACCAAGTAAAAGCATTCACTTGCTCTTTTTTCATTATTGAAAATGTTGAATATGCCAAGCTGATGTGTTTCATAATCAATTAATATTTCCCAGCATCCTTGTTACAAATCTTAACTATCTTAAGATAAATTGGTATGGTTATGTGTATGTCAGGGTCCAGTCAAGAAAACAAAAACCACAGGAGGCATTTTAACATAAAATTTACTACAGGCAATTGATTTCCCAGATGGTGGGAGGCTGAATGGGCAAAAGGGGTCACCAAGGTTACTCTAAAATACTAGAGTAGGAGCAGCTGCTATCTAGGGAAGAGGTTGGAATTATCAGAGCCCAGAAGTTGAGTGAAAGAGTCCCACAGAGCTGGGGCTCAGACCTCTGAGAAGGAGCCCGACCCAGCTGCTGCTAATGTTCTGAGAACATGCCCAGAGGCTGGTTCTGAGAGCACCAGAGGAGACTGGAGACCAGAACCAGCTGCTGCTGTCAGACGCAGGCCACTGAAGGGGTGATACTGAGAGGAACAAGAGAAGAGAAAGTCCCTTCTTCCATCCTTGCAGTCTCCCTCTGTTCTCCCTATTGGCAGACCCTTACAGGAAGCCAGCAGCAAAGGAGAAAGTTTACAGAGTTCAACCCAGCCCCACTGAGGAGTATACAGAAGCAGAGATTTGCAGCTGAGAGGTAAGGCCGTCATAATCGGTTCAGCATAAGGCTGAGTGAACCTTGAGCTTGTCACCTAGATGATGGTGGCTGCCTCGCCCACTAGAAGGTGGGCACCCGTTTGCCTTTTCCTCACTCTTGCATCCCAATGCCTGGAACAATGTCTAGCACATAGTAGGCACACAGTAAATATTTGTTGAGACAATAAACGAATGAATGCAATTCAGACTTGGATCTCTCTGATTGCAAAGCCCATGATATTAATTGTTTTTACTATCGCTGCAACAGCATCTGCCTTTGAGGGGGAATGAACCAAAGAGAATCTCTTTCTACTGTGGGGGATTGGAATTGGCCACCCCAAGATATGTCTCTTTGGCTTGAGGATTATTTTGGGCTGGTTACTTTTAAAAACTGCAGACATGAGAGAAATTCTGATAAGTAGAAATTATCCTTTGTAAGAGACATTTACATTTGTAAAGGAAATCTCCATCTGTAAAGGTATCTCCCTCTCTGTACCAGGAAGAAGGGGGGATGACCTTATCTCTAGAAAGTCTTATGAATGCAGAAGGCAAGGACTTAAATCTGCATTAGAACCTTACTCTTGTTTACTGTGCTTTTCTGGTAATCTCCCATAACTGACTCCCTCCACCCCCAACATCTTCCTTTGTCTTTAGCTGAGGATGGTATTTAAGGTGAGAGCTTCCACCATTTTGGTGAGTTGTTCAGTTTGCCTGAGTCTCTCCCATGTATACATGTTATAAAGCTTTGTTTAATTTTCTCCTGTTATTCTGTCTCATTCAATTTAATTTGTTCTCTGGCCAGAAGGACCTAGGGTGGGTAGAGGAAATGTCTTCCTCCCCTACACTACTTTACAGGTTTGCCTGTAAGTGGCCTTGGCAGCCTATTTTATTAGTGTCTTCAATACCACTAGAGAGAATTGGAAAGAACTGATATAACATCAGCGGTGACTAATGACTTCCAATTTGCCTCTTTCCACAATATAAAACAGAATTTTACCTGATGACCAAGTTGACATAAAATCTTCACACACAGAAACAGTCCAGGTTTTCTTCTGTGCTAAACTGGAACTATAAACAAATAGAAGTGATAACTGTTATAAGAATCTCAAGAATGTTTCAGACATGCTTTTTTCCAAAAGACAGCAATCTACATATATCATTCTCTATTAAAACCTATAAAAACGTAAATGACCTCAGTGCCAGATAAGTTGTTGTAAATGAGTTAGAACAACATATGGCCATGGGTTCACACCTTGCTCTTGAGAATGCGTCACTCTGTACGCTCTCTGTCTGCCCTGAGCCACACACCACAGCACAATAGGCAGTCTCTGCTCTTCAAAGCCTGGAGACATCAGTGCCACTCTCATTTGCATTTCTAAAAAAAGAAAGAAGAAGAGGAAGCTTTTCAATTAAAAAAAAAAACTAATTTCACACGACCCTAGACAATCCATTGGGATACACCCATTCCGGCTGCAAGCAGGTAGGCATTTAGACTTTTTTCCACCACCCTAATGGGCTTAAATAGCCTTTCTCAATGGTGTCAGACACATGGCAAAATACCAAGCCCCGTGCCTGCAAGAGGAGTAAGCAGGTCGCTATGACCTTGGGCCACCTTTCACCCAACACAGAGACTTCAAGTTATGTTACTTTCAGAGGCAGCTGGGTTTCTGTCCTATGAGGCTGAGTGAAACTGAGTAGAACTTCTTTGGAAACTTGTGCCTGGCCTTAAAACCTGTTCTGGTGTCTCTCATATCACCTTGAAGTTCAAGGCCGCGTGATGATGTTGTAGATTTCTGTGGCTCCTTTCAGCAAAAGTTAAGTATTAGTCAGTTTTGGTTTTGAGTGTCATTTACTCATTCATTGTATTTTCTGGAAGGAAAAGCTGGTTTTTCTTGATGCCTGGATTGGAGGTAGATGGAGTTTCTCCCTCCTCCCTCACTCGTGGGTCTGTCTGATTGCATTCCCTGTCTGATTCAGGTGAACGGGGCACTGGGTTATTTTACATTCAGTCACATACTTATAGTGGATTTTATGACAGGTGTGGTATTAAAGCCAGAGTTTCACTTGGAGAGATGAACTGTGGGCATCTGAGTTAGAAAAGCTTAGGCAGAGGTTATTTATGTGCCCAAGGAGTAATGTTAGAACAATATGTGGCTTTAGACATGGGAGTGTCTCCTCCTCCTTGTCTCCTGGAGCCACGGAGCCAGGCAATTTTTATCATTAGCCTCCCACTCCCACATATACCTGTTCTGTTTTGTCACTTCTTTCTTCTCTCTGGTCTATGACTCTTTCTTCTTCTTTTTTTTTTCTTGCTTTGTTCTGCTCTGTATGAGCTTTGTTGATTTGCACTTAACCCTATTAATGTTATCAGGATTTAAAAGGTTGTGGATCCCCAGGTCAAGGCAATCTTTAAATCGTGGTCTGGTTTTCTACATACCTCCAAGGCTGGTAATCATAAGTGATAAAGGAATTCTACCATAGAATCTTACCCATGGGATTGATGCTAATATCTCTTTTACACAGAGCTGTAAAGTGACTATCAAGGTGGCTTTCCTTTAGATTAGCAGTTCTCAAAGTGCAGTCTAAGGAACCCTGGGGATCATTGAAATGCTTTCAGGGAGTCTGTGAGGTCAGGATTTTTTAAAAAATACTACTAAGATGTTATTGGTCTTTTTTAGTGTCATTCTCTTACAAGAGTACAGTGGAGTTTTCCAGAGGCTGCAGGATGAGTGATATCACAACAGACTGAACACAGAAGGAGATATGGGAATCCAGCTGTCTTACATTAAAGAAATTTGCAAAATGTAGAGCAATGCCATTATTCTCACTAATGTTTTTTATCGTGGAAAATACAGTTAGTTTTCACAAAAAATAAGTTATTTCTGTTAACATGTAATGGGTTTATTAGGTTTAAGTTTATTATTATTGTTTTTAAATGAAGTAATAGATAAGCATTTTAAAATATTTATCAATAGAGCTAATCCACATAAACAAACAAACAAAAAAGCTCTTTGGGGTCCTCAATAATTTTTAGAAGTATAAAGAGTTTGGGGACCAAAAAGTTTGAGAACCACTGTGTCAGATTACAGCCTGAGAAGACAAGTATGTGTCTTCATTTTAGAGTAACTTCCGTAAAGGACAGACTTTGTGGGAGTTTTAATAGGTCAAAATAAATCCTGAAAGTTTGAACTCCAAATTATATTGGGAATCTACCACCCTCATCGCCTGGACTCTAGGCTCATCATCTAGTAGACTCTAGCCTACTTCTACTGGAGATATTTTCTCCAAATGCGTGTCATTGCATGCACTTGTACCCCACTACAATTCCTTCTTGATATTGCAACCAGGATGACTCTTTAAAAATGAACATCTGATCATGTCTCCCACTGGCCCAACCTTTCATTGACTTCCCATCACATCAAGAATAAACCTATGAACAACCTAAAAGATCTCATATGATCTGGTCCTGTCAGTCTCAGTCTTCTCTCCAAACACTCCTTGCTAGTCACATCACCCGTCTTGCACTTCCTGGGATAAGCCTGGTTTGTTCTTGTCTCAGGGCCTTTGCCCATGCTGTTCACTCTGCTTGGCATGTCCCTCCTTCAGATGTCTGCATGGCTTCATTTACCCCTTTGTCACCTCCTCCGAGTTCTCGTAAAATAGTGCCCCATTCCCATGCCACCCCATCTGCTTTATCCCTTTATCCCTTTTTATTTCCTTGTTAGCAGTTCACAACCTGACATTATATTATATATCCTTTGTGTATTGTCAGTCTCTCCCACTAGAGAGAACCTCTACGAGGGCAGAGACTTTGACTGTCCTACTTATCACAGTGTATCCAGTGCCTAGAACAGTGCGTGGTACTGAGTAGACACTCAATAAATATTTCTTGGTTAAGTGAGATCTAAATGTCCCATATCTTTGTAGCTATGTATTAACTCAACATATGCTGTGTTCTTAGCTATATACCAGGTAACAGGATATGGGGATGAATAAAACACAGCCCCAAACCTAGAATGGCATCAGTCTTAGAAGAGAGGTACAGGTAAGGTGTATGAGAGAGAAATGCAAAGAAGAAAAGGATTAACTACTACTGGGGATTCAACGAAAGCTTCATGATGGAAGGAATAGATGCAAGTGTCCAGCAGGGCTGATTTCAACTTCATCTCATTTGGGTTTTGCAAAATAATCTTTTCACTTTGTCATAGTTCTAGCTGCAACCATTCAAGGCTTTTGTCTTAAAACAACCAGTAGACCCTCTGGTTTACTCCTGCCACCAAGAGTCAGTTTTTGAATAGGCAACAGAAGCAAAGTGAGGGAGCTAATTTTTCCCAAAAAAAAAAAAAAGGAAAAGAAGAAGAAGAAAAAAGCACACAATGAGCAGTGACTACTCTGGCCCCTTGCTGTTGAGGAGGTTTCTAGGCGTTTGGTCCCAGACACTTAGCCCAGCTGGTTTTTACCTTGGAAACAAAAAAAAAATGACTAAATTTCAAATGCTCTGATCTGGTGTCAAGAAGACCCACAAAATCCAATCAAGATTTTATAAGAATCTTATAAAAAGCATCAGATTATTGTACTGTGAAAATTCCCAGGAGCACAAAAAGAAACAAAATTAAATATGTCAATGCACATTGCCCACCTCCACAGTGTTGCTAGAATGAGAAGCAAGAATTTAAAAGATTAACAAAGAGAGGGACCTAGAGTCAGAAGAGAGAGAAAAAGGGAGAAGGAGAGAGAGAGAGGGATGGAGGGAAGGAGGGAGGGAGAGAGATAACGAAGGGTATTGTCTCTACTGAGACTTCTTAGTGTTCGAAAAGAATAGAAGTTTTTGCAATAAATAGTCTTAAAAATCACATAAATCCATGTCACTCTTAGATGTTAGATGACTTTTTGCTATCATTTATCTCGGGACAAAGGTGAGGTGGGTCTAGTGCATCAACGGTGTTCCATAATGGTGAGTTTCAGTGACTCTCCCTTTGCCCAGTTTGTACAGATTTTCCAGACTGCATCCAAATCTGCCCACGCCAGGCACAACCTTGATCTTTATTTCCAAGCCCTGTTGAATAGGACATTTGAAAACTAGTAATATCTCATCACACCTCATACATTACTATCTCCATCATCAATTCTATCCCTGCAGTAGGGTCTGGTCCTGGACTACAAAATCCCACCTCATTGGAAATTAATTATAACCAAACATTCTTGTGAGCAAACACTAGATCATATTTAAACACTAGGTGACTCATCCATGGGTACTACTGTTCTCTCCGAAATCTCACATATTGCAATTCAAAAATTTTGCACACCAAGTGGCCATCCTTTGATTGTTGGCTTAGTCAGGGAGATCCATCATTTCTCTTCATCCCTGCCCAAAGCACTGGTTTATCCAGGGACCTCAGTGATGACACCAAGGACCCAGGTTCCTGTTCCATGTTTCCACTCTCCTGTCCACAGACTTGACTTCTTCCTACAGCTGGTTCCCTTCTGGATGTAGGATGGTTGGTGGTAGCAATCACTATCCCATGCTGTTCTGCTCATGTTCAGCAGGAGAGAGCGTCATTTCCAGAAGTTGCCTGAAGTGTAATAATATTCTTTCCCAGAAGGCTCTGGAAAATTCTTTATTGAGTCTTATTGCCCTGAATTGGCTTCAGACCTAGTTATCTGGAACCCACAACTCTGGAAAGGAGGATGGGCTCTCCCTGACCAGGGGTCAGCTCCCAACCCTCATGGCTGGTGTACAAAGGAGAGTAAAATTGGAGTGACAACCACTGTGTCCACAGCAGACTAGGGAGTGTGTTGTCTTACAACAGTTCAAGGCCACATAGGAATTTCTTTTATAGTTCTGGATATCTAACTGTAATTCTCTCTAGCTCTGCAAAGCATAACTTGTGATTGGTGATAACTCATACTGCAGATCTGTAAACCCTCCTCCCCTCCCCCCACAGCTTATTTAATTGTTTTATTTGTAGCTGTTTGTCTGGATTCATTTGTCTCTATCTAAACTCCCTTTACTTGCCATAACTAAGTGAGAAGATATTCTCCTGTTCTTGTCTCAGAAAAGAGAAGTCATATCTTCATTCAACCTTAAGTCTACATGGAAGAAGGCATTAATTAATGCTCTGAAGTTGTCCAGCTCCTGGAGGGACCCTGACAGGTGTGAATGTTGATTCCTCACCCTTCCGGCTGACGAATCTTCATCAACCATGGAGCATCTGGAGGGTCATGAAATTACTCCAGGGGGTTAATGCACTTTGTTGCTTTGATGCTGAAACTGCTGTCATTTTTTTTCTATCACATCATTAAAAAATGGCAATTCACACTTCATGTTATCCTGTTTGTATAGATGAGCATTTCAATGGATAATTTGCCACATGG